TCCTGCCTCAGCCTCCTGAATACTGGGATCACAGGCATGTGCCATCACACCTGGCTCATTGAGTGTTTTTTTGTTTTTGTTACTCGGAATCAAACTCAGGACCTTGTACTTGCCAGGTAGGCACTTGAGTCACTGAGCTGTATCCCTGGCCCTAATGAGTCTTTTTAAAACAATACAGTAGAGCTAGGTGTGGTGGTGCATCTCTGTAATCACAACATTTGGGAAGCTGAGGCAGGAGTATCCTGTGAGCTCAAGGCCAGTTTGTTTTTTTGGTACTGGGAATTGAACTCAGGCAGGACCTTGCACTTGGCAGGCAGGCACTGTGCCACTGAGCTATACAAACTACATAGTGAAACCCTGTCTCAAAAAAGAACATGATATCTTAACTGTACCGTTGTAATTTTGTTAGCTTCTTTTGATATTCTCCATTCCTTTTTAATGAGGGTAGTTTGGGCTCTTGAAGCAGCTGTTCCTTTTTAACTCTTTGAGAAAATGGGATGAATGAGCTTGCTTTCTAATTCTGCAAGAGTTGGAGCATACACCCCCACCCCCAAATGTAGCTTGAATCCAGTGTTTCTATACTGAGCTATATCCCCAGCCTTTTTGTAAAAGTTTGAAATAGGGTCTTGTTGAATTGCCTGAGTTCACCTTGAACTTGTGATCCTTCTGCCTCAGGCTGTTACAGTGCTGCTGGGATTACAGGTCTGTGCCACCACACCTGGCTGAAGATTGGGTACTGAGCAGTAGGTATTTCTGAGGCAGGGTCTCACTTTGTCTTCCACATTGGCCTTGAACGCAAGGCTATCCCCTTCCCTTAGCCTCTGAGTGCTGGGAGGATTATGGGCCACCCATGCCCAGCATGAATAGTTATCTTAATGTTAGTGGTTTCTTTCTTTTTTTTTTTTTTTTTTGGTGGCAGGAATTGAACTCAGGACTTTGCGCTTGCCAGGCAGGCGCTGTACCGCTGAGCTATATCCCCAGCCTAATGTAAATTTTTTTTGTCTTTTTGAGACAGGGTCTTGCTATGCAGTTCAGGCTGGCCTTGAGCTCACTTTGTAGCCCAGGCTGGCCTCGAGCTCGCAACGATCCTCCTGCCTCAGCCTCCCAAGTGCTAGGATTATACGCCTGCGCCACCACGCCTGGCTCATCTTAATGTTAAATGTTTGGGTTGAGTAGCAAGATATTCATAGTCTGTCTCCATATAGTTATTTCCAGGGGAAATTTAGAGACTGTAGGGTTATAAGATGACAGGCATGATTTGTTTGCTATTTCATGTGTTAACATGCTTAATTATTGTTGCTGGAAACTTTTTTTTTAACAGTACCACTTCTGCAGTCACAGTGAAGTCAGCCATCAGAAGACTGAAGGAATTGAAAGACCAGTAGAAGCACTACTGTTGGAGACATCCCTAGCCTATAATAAATAGGTTAATTTATGTAATAAAATTGCCTTGGTGTGTTAATTTTGTTAGACATTTTGATTTGCATTGCATTGATGTTGCCCTTTGAAAAGAGATCTAGAAATTAAGTCCTAAATTGAATTGAGAATTGGCTGTTAGGTTACTGAAACGGTTCTCTTTTCTTCAGTAGTCAGATAGTATAAGATGATAAATTTTATAGGTTAAGTATGTATCTTAGTTTTTGCCAATTGAACTAATTTGGGATATGTTGATATATATTGTGCACATTTTAAGGTTTTTTTTTTTTTTGAGATAGGGTCTCAAGTTGCCCAGGCTGGGCTCAAACCTAAAATTTTTTTATTGCCTTAGCCTTCCAGAGTGTGACACCAGCTAAAAGATGGTTGAACTACATGATGACTGTAACCATGCACTGCAAATATGTACTAATAAAGATTTTTAAAATCTTTAAGGTGCTTGAAATCCATTATTGTAGCTAAGGTAAGTGATTTTCCCAAGGTCAGAGGGAAGCAGCTCATGGAGAAAGGGCTGAAATTAGACTTCTGCTTGCTGGCCCATGTTTTCCTAACAGTGTTATAACTGCCTTACATTTGATGCTCAGAGTATGTTCTTTCTTCCTTTTCCCATATTAACGATTCCCACCATTTTACTGGTTTATTTCAGTGGTTTTCTGAGTCTTTGGTTCTAAGATATTTAAGTGGACATGGCGTCAGGACATAAAAGTGAGCAAGGCCTGTGTTTCTTACTAGATGAAGTTTATAGGTGGTCTCCTAAATTTTTTTTTTTTTTTTTTTTTTTTGTTTTTCTCCGGTACCGGGAACTGAACTCACGACCTTGCACTTGCCAGAAATTTTTTGTTTTTTTGTTTTTTTGTTTTTTTTCTGGTACCAGGAATTGAACTCACAACCTCATGCTTGCTAGGCAGGCGCTGTGCCGCTGAGCTAAATCCCCAGCCCCTCCTAAATATTTGTATGGATGCTGTGATAAAGGGGCAGGTAGCTAGGTACCATGGAAATATATTTTGCAAGTTTGTTTTGGGTGTAGATTGAGGGATTGTGATACTCAACCTTTGTTAAGGATCCTTTTTTTTTTTTTTTTTTTTTAAGGATCCTTGTTAAAATCCTTGTTAAAGGATTATCCTTGAGGTAAGAGCCACAGATCAAATTCTGGAGCCAAGAACTGAGGAATTTTAGGAGGACCCAGCAAGGGTTGGTAACATTAGCAATTTTGAAATGTTGCAAGCAGAAGGAGGGAAGTTAAAACAGTACTTACTTTCTCCCTGTAGGAACTAAAAGCCATTTTGTCATAGGTGGCTTTTTAGGCCAAAGTTTATGGACGGGGAAGGAA